GTGCCCTGGAAGGAGCTTCTTACTTCTCTACTGAGAAAGAGGACATTGTGGTCTGGGAGAAGGATTTGCCTTCACATATTCATTCATAACACTGTAAGAGAAGTCACATGGAGACTTAAACTCTTTTCCAAATTCTTGCCTTAACCCTAGCATCCAAGCTGAAACCTTGTGTTCAAACTGAGGTTGTGGAAAACCTCAGTTGTCCATGTGATTGCTATGGGTCCATGCCCCAGTCTCTGGGGAGTTCCAGGTAACTCCCCCATGCCTCCCCTTGTAGATCTCAGTAGGACCTAATACACTTACTTTCCTTCCTTGGCTATTGTACACCTCTGTTGTGCAGAAACCAGGAGCCCCACAGAACTGACCCATGCACGGGTGCTGTCTGTCTGTTAGGTCCTCTCATCCTTGTTCAGGTCCCTCTACAAACTGTTGATGATAGAGAAAGCTGAACAACTTCCTTTCTCAATAATAGCTTTGGTTTCCCCGCAACATGTGCTGAACAAAAATATCTGACTTCCTGGAAATATTTTTGAGCCAAGCCCAAGGTCTCCCCTGGTTCCAAAACCCAAGTGTGTCTTAAAGTCCATACCTGGACCAATCCCCTAAATCTAAGGTATGATATATGTTTACAGGAGGTGGTTTCACCAGACAGTGGTTGGGTTCAGGGGTCTTCTTTTTGGGGCCCCATCATGGTCAACAAACATGCCATGTTGTGTGACCTTTGACAAGGTACTTAATCTCTTTGAATTTCCCTACTTAGCAAAGTGCAGATAACAAGGAGCCCTGATAAATTTTACAGAAAGATTCATTGAAGAAATATATGTGAAACAAATTTTGTTGAAGAGGTGCTCAAAAATGTGAATTCCTGGGGCGCCTGGGTGGCGCAGTCGGTTAAGCGTCCGACTTCAGCCAGGTCACGATCTCGCGGTCCGTGAGTTCGAGCCCCGCGTCGGGCTCTGGGCTGATGGCTCGGAGCCTGGAGCCTGTTTCCGATTCTGTGTCTCCCTCTCTCTCTGCCCCTCCCCCGTTCATGCTCTGTCTCTCTCTGTCCCAAAAATAAATAAACGTTAAAAAAAAAAATTAAAAAAATAAAATAAAAAAAATTAAAAAAAAAATGTGAATTCCTGTCATTGCTGCACAGAAACCTGTCATTTTCACTGTTGCTCTCTAACAAGGTTAACTTTGATGCTAGTTCTGCATCCAAAATATTGCTGAGCCTCCCAAACTCTGATGTCTTAATTTCTTGTACTGTTTTGTTCTTTCCAGAATTATCCTGATAGATCCACATCCTGCTACTGGATTTCCTTGATTGAGCCTTGGGGGCAATCGTCTATACTAAATTGAGACATGGGGTGCGTGGTACTCCCTAATGTGTCCTGAAGGAGTTAGCTGCAAAGGTGATGGGCGAGAGCCAGACTCCATGCTGGGGACACCAGCCAGGTGCTCTCTGGCCACCAGAGCTTCCAGTATCTCTCACTTGAGGATGCCTGGGCCTGCCCCAGCATGGCTTCCCGGATTCCAGTAAGATTGGGTAGATCTATCTGGATGGTTCTGGAAGGACATAAGAGTGCAAGAAATTAAGGCATCAGAGTTTGGGACACTCACCACAACTAGATACATAATTGTGACATAGTCACACAATGGATTCTTACACAGGATGGAAAATAATTTTTCACATGCAAAGATGTGATGAAATATCAAACATATAATGTTGAACGAAAAGGTGCCAGTCACAAAAATACATAGTATATGGTTCCATGTAGGTGAAATTCAGTAATAGCCAGGAAGAAAGATGATTAATAGTAGATAGATGGTAGCTTTGTTTATTTGTTTATAGTAGCATAGTAACGGAAGTCAGAACTTACCCACAAAAAGGGCCAAGAAAGTTTTCTGGGGTGTTAAGAATATTCTACATTTTGGCATAGGTGGTGGTTGCAAAGGTGCAAATGCGTAAAATTCTGTCGAACCACACACATGAGTACTTTAAGCCAAAATTAAAGCAACAAGTGTTTAAAATGATTATCTGATGATAAATTTATTGGTGATTTTTCTTTTTTCTGTATCTATTTTCCAACTTTTATACAAAGAATGAATGTCTTTTCTGTAATGAGAAAAGACCATCAACATTAAAAAAAACAACAACACATCTCTGACCCCCTAGTGTGTTTCACATTTTAGCCTGTGAGAGCAATACAGTTGTTTACCCTGTAAACAATGAAGAACAAAATTATTTATAGTCTTAGCCTGGGGACACATTACTTCACACTATACATCATGTCTTAATTCATGGGTAAGATATTTGGTCCTGTCACAGGCAAATGGTCCTGGAGAATTCTTAATATCATAATTCTTGATTTTGGCAGTATGTAGATAATTCACTTTAAGGTGGAGTTATATAAATGGTAGCAGTTAAAGATAGCACTAAGTAAGAAATTGACTCAGCATAATTACAGGGAGGTCTCTATTGACAGGGTCCAATGGAGCCAGACAGCAAGGAAGCCAAAGTCAAAATCAATAGGGATCAGCTCCTACCCTTTACCATAGCACAACCATAGCACAGAGCAGGGCAGAGAACTTAGGGAATAGATGGTAGAGATGAGAATAACAAGGACAACAATCCTACGAATGTTTTCTAGGGGGTCCTGAGGTTTTTATCTCATCTTAGGGTGAGATGAATCTGAAGACATAATTTGTTGTTAGGACGGAGTTGTCAAGCGAGGTTTCAGAAAGAGCTATGGCGTCCATGGGTCTAAAGCCTCCTCAGGGTCTTTCTGGGTGTGCTCAGGCATAGGATTCAAGCCTTGATTGGCCTTACAAATTCCATGTATACACTGGCATCACTCGAGTGTTCCTTGGGCCCCTGGGAAGTGGGGGTGGTTTTTTGCTGTGTGAAAATGCAATGACCCAACTCTGTGTATGTCACCTCCTGTGCGTCTTCTGCTGGAGGATCCTGCATAATGGGAAATGGGAAGGACGGTGTGCACACACTTGTGGGCAGTAGGAGGAAGTGAGACTGCACTGAAGAGGGTGAGCTGAGGAGGAACTACCTCCCTACTCACCATTCTGTCCACCTCAGGCTCTCTGTTCATTATAGCAGCATCTGTAGGGAATAGAAGTCATCAAAAACACGTGGAAGGGCATTTCTGGGTCCTCATTTAATAGATACAGATACCCATGCACAGAGGTGCAGTATTTTTTTAAATATAATTTATTGTCAAATTGGCTTACAAAAAATACCCAGTGTTCATCCCAACAAATGCCGTCCTCAATGCCCATCACCCACTTTCTCCTCTCCTCCACTCCCCCATCCACCCTCAGTTTGTTCTCTGTATTTAAGAGTCTCTTGTGGTTTGCTTCCCTCTCTCTCTGTTTGTAACTAGTTTTTCCCCTTCCCTTCTCCCATGGACTTCTGTTAAGTTTCTCAAGATCCACATATGAGTGAAAACATATGATATCTGTCCTTCTCTGACTGACTTATTTCACTCAGCATACACAATGGAATACTACCTGGCAATGAGAAAGAATGAAATCATGCCATTTGCAGCAACATGGATGGAACCAGAGAGGTGCAGTATTGCCTGGAATTACTACCAAAAAGTAGAGTCAGAAATTCTACCTCTCTAGGGGCGCCTGGGTGGCTCAGTCAGTTGAGCGTCCAACTTCAGCTCAGGTCATGGTCTCACATTTCGTGACTTTGAACCCAGCATCGGGCTCTGTGCTGACAGCTCAGAGCCTGGAGCCTGCTTCAGATTCTATGTCTCCCTCTGTCTCTGCCCCTCCCCCGCTCATGCTCTCTCTCTCTCTCTCTCTCTCTCTCTCTCTCTCTGTCTCTCAAAGATCAATAAACATTAAAAAAAAAATTCTACCTCTTGAAAGGTTCACAGACCCATCCCATTAATATCTCCCTATTTCCATTCCATTGATAAGGATGGAGGGCACTGGTGTTCTCTCTAGAAAACCTGACCTCTGTGGCTCCTGCCTTGAACCAGACATCAGCCTGCAAACAGAGAACTCACACCTGAGCACTCTCATCCTAGCTCCCTGCTCTGCTTAGATGGAAACTGGCCTCTTCTTCCCAAGACTCACTCTTTGTGGCATGGCACCAGCGATGAGTGAGGAAAAAAAGAAGGATGGTGAGGAAGACGATGGCCACTAAAGGGCCCAGCCAGAACATGTAAGTGTCTGGGGTTACCTGCAGGAAGATGTGAATCTAAGGAGAAAATCACAGTAGCTCTCCTTTATTGATTGCCTCCCATTTATTGATTGTTGGAAAAATACCTACAGTATCTCTACCTCAACCCTGAATCGAACAACGTTCTTTAACAAAAGAAAGACTAAATTCTTTAACAAAAGAAAAAGTTGAAACCAAAGTCAAAGTAAGTAGAGTTATTTTATGTTGTACAGGCAGGAAATGATAACAAAATGGGTGAGCAAGGGCTGCACAGTGCGATGTGTTTGCTTTGCGTAGTCTCATGAGTCATATATTAGGTTACTGCTCGTCTGATCCTCTCTACCAGCTATTCCTGAACATATTTTGTTGTTGTCCATTCACTGTCCCAACAAAACCAGTCCTTTTGGGAATTAAGAGGAAAGTTGACTCTTAATTAAGCACTCTAAATTAAATAGTGCTTGTTCCTGTCTCTAAGATTTGAACTGACTCAAAAGGGTATTGGTATTCACCTCCAAGGGATCTATCATATGTTCACAGATGACTGGAAGCAGGGGTGAGGTAGAGGTTTGAGGTGAGCAGAATGGAGTGGGGCAATTTACATCATGTATACAGCACTTTCTCTGTTGCAGAAGCATGTGAAATGCTTTCACGTTTTTGTCCTGACCTCGTCCACACAGAGAACCTAAAACGGGGAGATTTAACCTCATTTTATTGTGGATAAAATAGAAGATAAATGAGCTTATCATACAGAAGTAGAAAAATGACTATTTGAAGCCAAGTGCCTTTGTCTTTCTGGTATACTATACTGTTACACTAAGCATCCTCATTTGTACACACTTCCCTCCACATGATTCCTCTCTCCTGACTAGTATAGGTTTAGTTGCAGTGAAAATTAATTGCACAAAGGAATGAATGAGTCCAAGAGCAAGCAACTAGGAAAAACCAGATCCAACAGAACCTCCTCCAAATGGTTCTACCTCAAGAACATGTCTTGTATTTATCGACTTCATTCATTTGGTGTCTAACTTGGCACCACATTTCACCAGGAGGGTGGCAATTGCATTTTCTGTGGTCTCTCGGCTCCCAGTTATACGCCTTACAACCCATTTTCATATAAGTCACTATTAATCATATATGGATTCCCAGTAGATGCTTAGACGATTTGCAATGGGACTGAACATGTAGCACACATTCCTTGTTCTTACCCAGCTCCTTTATACAATCTGGTTCCTCTCTGTCTCCTTCCATTGATCTTGTCATTCTCTCCACCTCCCCTGCAGCATTTAGACTCTTCCTTGAGCATAAGATTATTCTCACCTTAGTGTCTTCTTGGGTGATAGCTCTGGGATATCTTTCCAACAATCTTCAAAGAATTAAACACTTCTTGTCATTAAGGTCATGACCTAATACTGCCCAAAATTGAGAGAATCTCTGCCACTCACTCTAAACCATCCACAAAGCACTATCTATCACTTTATTTAAATTTTCATGTATAGTTTCCTCACAACTGATCATTCATCCATTCATGTTCTCATTTTCTGCCCTTCCACTTAAGCTGCAATACCAGCTTCCCAAGATGCATTCCCAAGGTATCCTGTTTACTATTGGTAGTAGGCAGAAGAATGCATCCCTCAAAAGTTCCATGTGCTAATTCCCATAACTTGCAATTGTGTCATGTTACATGACAAGGAGGAACTACGGTTGCAGATGTAATTAAGGTTGCTAATCCACTGGCTTTAAAATTGAGAGGTTATCCCAGATTATCTGGATGGCCCCAATGTAATCACAAGAGTCCTTAATAGAGAAGGAGATGTGATGAAGGAAGCGGGGGGGTCTAAGTGGTTCAATGTGAGTTAGACTTGACCAATCATTGTTGGCTTTGAAGATGGAGGAAAGGGACGATGAGCAGAGGAACACGGGCAGGCTCTAAAAGCTGGAAAGGCAAGGAAATGGATTGTCCCCCAGAGCCTCCAGAAGGCACACAGCCTGCTGCCATCTTGGTTTCAGCCTCATGAGACCCATTTCAGAACTATGAACTCTAGAACTATGAGATCATTTTATCAACTGTGTTGTTTTGGGGCGCATGGGTGGCTCAGTTGATTAAGCATCCAACTCTTGATTTGGGCTCAGGTCATGATCTCACGGTTTGTGAGTTCAAGCCCCACATTGGTCTCTCTGCTTTCAGTGCAGAGCCCGCTTTGGTCCCTCTGTGTCCCTCTCTCCTGTTCGTGCTCACTCACTCTCTCTCTCTCTCCCTCTCTCTCTCTTTCTAAAAAAAAAAACAAAAACAAAAAAAAACTGTGTTGTTTTAATGTACTGAGCTTGTGGAAATTTGTTATAGCACCAATAAGAAATGACTACCTATGGCATATCCAGCACATGGACATACATGTGCACTGGAACAGTGCATGAACAAATAAATGAAGGAATCACATGTATGGGTGAGAGACTGGGTTCTGAGTTCTCCCTCACTCTACTAAGCATATCCGTGTTGCATCCTGACAGACAGAAGCTCATTTCTTGGCAAATGGAACTTCTCTAAGCACTACCTACCCCCACCAGCTGTTCTCTTCCTTTCTCTCCTCCAAGATCCCATGATTCTTGTGGGGGGCCGGGCCCCAGTGCCAGGCTGAGA